TTTACTTTCAAATGAAATTCAATCACAATGTCCTCAGTAACTCATGATGAGTCTTATGTTTGTTGGTTCCTCCAGCAACAGAACATGTGTAATGCTTTTTTTTGTGTGTGTTTCTGGCACAGACGTTTTAAATCTCCAGCTGCTACAGCGAGTGGACAGTGCTGTGGGTGGAAATGTGTAGATTAATGTGTGCTAATGTATAATAAGATCCCCTTCCTGCATCACTATAGAAGTGAAATCTGAGTGGCTCATTTCCCACATGCTTGCAGAAAAATGCTGACCATGCTAAAGTTTCTGGGTTGTCCTTTTTCACATTTTCTGTGTTGGCAGATGCACCAGGGACCTGATTAAAAATCCCTGATACCCTTTAGGATTTACCCAATTTTTACACAGTATATGGCATATTTCTGCAACACAAAATTATTGGCATTATTAGGAAGACGTGTTGCTGTTGGCTGGGCTGCTTATTCAGCAGTCAGGGTTTTAAAAGGGCAACAGCAGATTGAAATAATCTCATTTTCCCCAGCCTGAGGGATTCAAACTGAGCTACATGCCACGGCAGGAGAGAAGGGAGTGAGCTTTGTTTAAATGGCCAAATCTCAGCAGTCCCACTCTTTGAGGTACGACACACAGATGGCCGCTCAAAGCATATGACAGCCTCAATTATGCTACTACACACTGCCAATATGCAAACATGCTACTGACTGGCTCTTTGCTGAAATGGAGAAAAGTTAGCAAGCTTCCGCCTTAGGAAGCAATGATATAATAATGTCAGTTGCTCTGTTACAAACGGATCGGGACAAAGGAGATGAGTATCCAAAAGCAGTTTATAAATAAGTGTAGTCAAACAGGCAACGGTCAAACAGGTATAGCACACAGCAGCATAAAGGTAATCCAGGATCAATAGTAGTAATTCAATTGTAGTTCTCCAACGATCTGCATAGGCTAGATTGCTGATGGTCGTGACACGCACAATTTTAGTTGTCAACCTGTATAGGTTGAATTAGTTGGTGTTTAGTTGAAGCTTTTTTATTGATAGTACTTCAAAAGTACATTTGCTATTTCCTTATATCATAAAGTTAAAATATTCAAATTAATTCTGTAATTACAACATGTGTATTATATTTTTATATTTGATGTTTATATGTATATTTGTTTGTTTATTTGTCCATAAAGCATGGTAATTGTGACCACCAATTGTGGTCAAGTCAATTCATGGAATTAACAAACCGTTAACTAGCACTACTAGCTTAATAAACAACTAATTAGCTGTTCATGAATAGTTAGTAAGGTAGAAGTTTAGTCTAGGTTTTGGGTAGAATAAGATCATACCTTATTATAACTACTAATGAACTGATAATATCTTAATAATAGGCAGGTAATAAGCCAATAGTTAATAGTATATATGTTAATAAGAGTTATATGTATAATATAATATAATATAATATAATATAATATAATATAATATAATATAATATAATATAATATAATATAATATAATATAATATAATATAATATAATAAATAGATAGATAGAGGTGTGTTCAAATTCCAAATGAATCATCCTTAACAACACAACTGATTCATTAAAATCAGCTCATCACATAGCTTAATCTTGTTTTTTTTAAACTTTACATTATTATTCAGATTTCTGCGGCAGAGAGCCGAGTGATGGGTTTAGATTGTAAGCGCAGAGCAAAGAACAGTCAGACGAAAACATTAAGCAGCGACAGTAATGAGTCCCTCTGGAAGCTTCAGCTCTCTCCACCCTAAAACACCACACCGCACAGAGAACAAGCACACGGGGATCATGTTTATCTTCCCAATTAGAGCTGGTAATTGGTCAGGGAGTCAGGGGTCGCTGAAATACTAACCATAAAACACACCGGTAGTGACTACTAAACATCCAGAGCAATCAAATATATGAGCTGCCATTAAAACGCAATGCTAATAGAGTGAAAGCAGTAAGAGTTGGAGAGAGAGAGGGAAAGTGAAAGGGGATTTTTCCAGTGTCAATCTGATTTGGCAGGGGTTTGAGTTGACAGTTTTCCTCAATCGCAGGCCCTCTGGACAGGTTGGGTTCATTAGTCTGGGGAGTGCAAGGTTCAGTCTGGAGACCTTGAGCACAGCTGATCCTTATCCACAGCAAAACTGACTGTTACCGAAGGCAAGACTAAAATACAATGGCTCCCTGAGGCTTGGGACTGTGCCATTTCACTGGATATAGGGTGGCGGAAAATACTAGACACTCTTGGGAAAAGAAAACAGTCCCCCATCCACCCTTCCAAAAAAATAAAAAATAAAAAATTTCAAATATAGATTTTGCAAGCGTCACCTAGCAAGCTGATGGTCAAAAAGTGTTGGGCTATTGGTGAGCATCTGTTGGGCTGTTTTTTTTCTGGTGCGTTCCACATGTCAGATCTAGTCTGGATCATGTGGGTGAGTCAATTTAGCATGATGAATAGGTGTCTGAGACAACGGTGAGAGAGATCGCTTTGGGTGCATTTTTTAAACAACCACAAATCTTGCTGTTTTACCGACCATATTACTGCATTCCTGGAGAAACTAACTAATTAATCACTACTATCATTGAAACCACAAAATTATAATATAAAAATACTATGAATTCTGTAATTTTAAAAAAAATGTTTTGTATTATTATATTTATCTTTGTTTTTAGAACAAAATTATAATGAAACCAAACCAAAAATAAAATAAAATAGTGAATCTTATGTCTGAGAGAAAATAATAATAATGGTATAAATATTTAAGAAGCAAATTAAATAAATAATACAGTAGAATTGTTAAAATCAAAGCATTAACTAAATATATAATATAATATAATATAATATAATATAATATAATATAATATAATATAATACAATACAATACAATATAATACAATATAATATAATATAATATAATATAATATAATATAATATAATATAATATAATACAATACAATACAATACAATACAATATAATATAATATAATATAATACAATACAATACAATACAATACAATACAATACAATATAATATAACATAATATAATATAATATTTGCTAAAAAAATTTGGGTGAGTTAAGCTCTAAATAAAATGAGAGACAATGGTGTAAAAAAGTCTGTCAAAATTGTCTATTAAAATTTGTCTCATATCCATAACTGTTTGTTTATATAGATTTACTAAAAAGGTGTGCGATAAAAAACAGCTTAAAATTATTTACATCTTGAAATAACATTGACTGCTCAAATCAACTAAAATTATCTTCTAATATCTTAGGGTATATTTAAACTGAAGTAATTTTATATTATTATTATTATTTTTATTATTATTATTATTATTATTATTATTATGATATTTATTTTAAATTTTAATTACATTTATTATTTGCATTTTATTATGTACATGCTGTATAAACAAAAAACTTTGTCAAAACAATCCATTTATCAACACACAAAAATTACTAAAAAATGTTGTACTAGCAGTTAACAATGTCACTTTGTAAATATAAACTACATAATATGCATCCGCATAACATCACTGTTTTTATAATTAGCATTTTTGTCATTTACACAAAGGCAATAATGATATTCAAAAAAGGAGAAAAAAAGCCACACAATTAATAGACAAGTAAAGTGTGATAACACGATTAACATTTTACCCACATAAAGCTTAAAAGGAGTTTGTTCATTTTTGGCCAACAAATATTTTCTATTTATTTAGTCTTACAGTAGAAAGTCTATTACTGTACTGGTTTATATAATAGATATCATGCATTATAAGTAATCCAGCATGATACAATGCATCTAGGCAGTTGTTTGCACACACTAAAGCCCTTCAGTCTTGCATAACAGACCTCCATCCTGTTACCATCTTGTGACTGAATAATATGTAGGTTAGTGTATGCTCCATTCAGCCACTGCTTCATTTTGGGCAGCCAAAAAGATTGAGGGGATATATTATGTATTAACTTCCACCTGGATGTACTGTATCCCACTTATTACATGGCTACTGGTCACAAAAAAAAACAAATAAATAATAAAAATAAAAAAACTAGACACAAACCATTGTTTTGAGCTGTAATGGTTTATTATTGTTTTTAATCAAATGCAAAGCTCACCAAAACAAATTACTGAATGGAGCATACACTAACATACGTATTATTCGGTCACAAAATGGCACCAGTCAAAAAACAGTGGCATGCCAGACAAGCATATACTGTAAACATTGAATTGAGCCATAAACTGTATAAAAAACACATTCGCTGACATAGAACATAATTTGATGTACACAGATGAGCCTGTGTTATTAGTTTCAGTTGTCTTTATCTGCAAATACCTAAAAAATTTTCGACTGACCAATCAGGATCAGGTTTTCAAATAGGAAATAATAAATGTCATACAGTAAAAGGTCTATTCAAAACTGCTTGACAACAGACAAGATCCATGTTTTGTTATGAGTGTCAGGCAGCTATGATACGGCCTGGACCTCATCAGTTACTATGACACTCTGCCATTAAATTCTGCTTTCATCCAGCACAGATAAAGCTCACTTATCACAGAAAGGTCTGTCAATCTCATTCATCACCTGATATGAACTCTGTTAAAGTCCTTAAAGAGTCAGACATCACAAAATGGTGTTACATTTGGATGAATCACTCGTGTTAGAGCTTCTGCTAAAAAATTTATGGCTCCTATTATGAAATGACACAGTGAAGGGGACCGGCAATGTAATGAACTCCATTTTCCAGCATTTTGCCAATATCGCACAGTTACGGAAAGTGTCGGGCATTCATTTAAATCCTGTCAGAACTTCTTACTTTCTTAAATGAACCTGGCACTTGGCCAATTCATATCTTGTCACAGACCTTAAATGTGTAGAAATACACTATTTTTTGTGCTGAACAGTATACAGTGGTACTGCTAGTACTGGAAATGTAAATTCCTGTACCACATTTCAATTTATCTCACTGGAATTTTTGTGACATGAGGTCTTACCTGTCTTCCCCTTGCATCTCTTTGACTCCTTTCTGAACGACCTCTCGAGCCGGAGTCATTTCAGCTGGACGACCAACATTTCGAGAGTAAAGGTCTACATTTCTAGAGTAAATACCTCCGTCTGTGTGATACCTAAATGATTATAGGAAATAAAAACCCATAAATAACAGTGATTGTAGTTTTCTGAACAACTGATCAAAATTAAAATGGGTTTATGCTTAAAACAAGAAAAAAAAATCTGTAGGTTGGCTAAATAAAATTAATTAAAATTAAAACTAAATGATTTTTCATACTGCAGGGGCAGATTTTTTTTCTTGATTTAAGCACTCACTTGATTTTATATTCTTCCTCCTAAAACCAAGAAAGTCCATGTGAACCAGAAGTTCAGTATGTTGATGTATTTTCAACTGAAACGGAATATTGAGTAGGGGCAGTTTTTTTTTTTTTTTTTTTTCGCTCCTCCTTTCCTCTTTCACTTAAAGCAAACTGAAGCAAACAGTTGGAGGGGCGTGGCTTAGTATGAGAACGAATGCCATTTTGGATTAACTGTTTTTTTAATAGATTCATTTGCACAGATTAATTGTTCACTTTAAGACAAACAATGTGTGCTAGTAAAAGAACATTGTAAATTTGAATCAATGGGGACTTTGTAAACAGAATAAAACAGAATTGCACAACAGAGAAAATAAAATGGACTTTCCTGTTATCACTGGGAACAGATTTATTCTCAAATATTCTTATTTTTTTATTATACTATAAAAAGCATTCGGCATGCACTTTTAGACAAAAATGACCAATTTTATTTCATGTTTGTTGTGAAATTAATATGATCCGTGATTTACTTTGCTTAAGACCTAAAAAAATAAGAAGAGCACAAATGGTTTCATTGCTAAAAGTAAATTCAAATGAAAGTATTTATAAGTATTAGAATATAATAGTCAAATAATTTAAATGAATGACAAAGCATAATGGAACATTATCAAGTGACAAATAAAGCTAAAATAAGCCATTTAAAAACTATAATATTGAAGAAAAAAAAACTAAAATAAATTTTAATTTCACAATAAGTTAAAGTGATTCAATGAGTTATAAACACTCCACCGATGACAGAGCCCCAAAACATCAGTTTTCTGATCATAATTATGACACTTCAGCCAATCACAGTTGTAAGCAGATGTACTGCCTGCAGGTCTGACTGTGAGAGCTCTATTTTATTTAATATGTCCAAAGAAATCAGTTGCACGCAAGTTTCTTCAGGTACGAATGTCAATACTTTGTTTCTCGTGTGAGTCAGTCTTTTTGTAGATTTCATTTTGAGTGTTATTTTTTGCTCTGTCTATTCATCAGCATGGAGACAGCAAGGGCAGAAGCAATAGTGCGTCACATAGTGATGTATATGTGACCCTGAGCCATTCATCCAAACAGAGACACATGATGGTGAATGAGTGTTTCTCGCTCATATCAGAATATTGTGCTGTGAAATGCAACTGCTTTGATGGAACGTCTGTAAATGCCATAAATCCACCACTATTTTTTGTCAAACCGCCTTCTCTTTGTGAACATTGCATATTCAGACAAAAACTAAATACAAATAAAATTGATCAATGGTTTAACTGAGCATTAAATTATAAGAAACAACATGCTTTACATTGCTTAGATTATGCACTGTAAAATATCAATTAAATAAAACTTGGATGAACTCTGACTCTGAAATTCTGAAAAATTTCACAAAAGGTTTTTAAATAAATATTACAACATATATTTTTAATGTTATTATAATATGAACCATTATTAATGGCTAATTTCCATAAATAAAATGTTTTTATGCTTAAAAAAATTCTATAAAAAAATCCTTTTATTTTTAGATTTATAAAATACTCTTCACAAGAAATAATGCTTCTTTGAAGAACTTTTCTCTAAAAGATTTTGGGAACCCAAAATGAAACTCTATGTTAAAGAGTGAATATGCAAGTTAAATAAGTAGTTTCTTACCCACTGATATCGTCTGCATGTACATTCTTGGCGAGTATGTCTCCATCGCTGCCATATCCAGTCACGTCCACCTCAGGTCCCACTTCAGAAATGCCCCCTTTCTCCCCCGGCTCTGCCCCTCGGGCCCCTGAGGCGGCCGCTCTCCTCAGGGGGGCCGTGTATAACAGCCGTGAGGGCTCTCCATAGCGAACAGTGGTGCTGCCAGCACTGGATCTGGGTGGAGTGTAACTAGGGGCATCTCCAGCCTGGAGACGAGGACTTGACCCCTGGCCGAGACGCCAAGACATGGGGGAAGAGCGGCTGGAGAGGGCAGGAAGACCACGACCATTCACTTCTGTGGTTACAGTGGTGTCAAAGGTTGTCTCAAGGGTACTACAATGAAAACAAAACACAGAAGAGAAGGAAATTAGATACCATAATTCTGTGTAAAATGATGGGAGTAACTTCAGTTAAACCGTAAATAATCTGTGTTTTAAAGGGGTCATTATTTTCCTCAGATTTAATTTAGTAAATATTAAAGGGCAACATAGTGAAATGACCAAATTACTTTAAGCAAACCAGAACCTTAAACAAATTTAAAGAGTCTTTCCACAGCAATATCACAGCATGGCAATATGACTGTACACCTACAGAAAACAAGTATAAAATTATATGGAATAACAAACTTTTGATTTGCTACTAATGTGACAGTAAACACGTAGTCTAACATTATTTTTATGATGAATAAAAATAAAAATCTACATATGTACTGTACAACAATTTTTGTAGTTCAGCCTTATTCAGAAGTGCAACTCATAATTGGAAATGCAGTAGTCACCTACAGAAAATGTGGAGAGGGGAGAAATTGAGGACTGCAGAAGGATTTGGGTAATTAGATCAATATGCTGCTTCTGAAACAGCTGACTTGACTTTTAAAGGCTTAAAAAATCCTACACCTGTGCCAAGGTGAATTTGTTAGACAGTTTGAGGACCAGTCAGAACACTGCAATGCAGCACTTAAGAGTTTAAAATATCAACCTACTAAAAATTTACACTGAGATAAAAATAGTTACAAATAATATATTAATACTTTATATTTTATATTTTTACATTTTACACAAGTCTATTTTTACATTTTATACTAGAACTATACAGCAATGAAAAACTGAAACTAAATAGAAATAATAGTCAAATACAATATGAATGTATTGGTAGCATGAACTGGCATCACAAGAATAAAAACTAAACAAATCTAAAATAAAGTAAAAACAAAACAATACAAATGGAAACAAAATAATAAAGTCTAAACTTAATGCAAACAAAACAAAAAACCTTTTGACAATGGCTGGGTCTAAAATCGCACACTTCCACACTATATAGAATGTAACAACAGCATGTGAGCCCAGTAGTATGGCCGAATTCATTGTTTTTGAAAAACAAGTGAAGTGCGCATCCAATGGACACTACGCTTTACCATGATGCCATGCGTGAGAATTTATGAATGTGACGTGGGTAGGTCACGTGATAATGTCAAATGCTATATGCATGCAGTATGTCCGAGTTCTGTTCATATACTCACATTCACACCATATAGAATGTACTTTTCTAACGACTGTGTAGTAAATTGAAATTCAGATGTAGTACCCACTCAAGTATTTGTTTTTGGTGTCTTATTCTGGATTTTGAATGTCTTTGTACCATTGCTGTCAATGGAGGATGGGGGAGCTCTCAGATTTTATTTAAATCTTAATTTGTGTTCTGAAGATGAATGAACATACTTGGGGATTAGAATGACATGAGCATGAGTAATTAGTATCAGAACTTTAATTTTTGGGTAAATTAACGCTTTAAGCATGCTTTTTTAACTGACTCATATATCTTTATAAGATCCAGTCTTCAACTATATCTATATTAGGCAGAGTGTCTCAGCACAGCAGGTCTTCTGTCTGTAGGTTGTGAGTGTTCAGTGTGGTGTGAAGGACCCAGCTGAAGTAGAAAGATTGCCAATGTGCCCGTGTTTGATTTCTGCTCTCCATAAAATGGAAGCGATTTTCATTGTGTCATGTCTGATCTACTTCAACCAGCAGCATCCCATCACCAAGCATGTTAGTGGCAGCACGACTCCACCCAGCCCTCCTGACCTTTGTTAAGTGCTTCATCTATGTGTTTGATTGAGTGAATATAAATGTGTGAACTGATGTGTGTTCAGGTGTCGCACGCTTGCTGACGCAGGAATGTGTGAGCAAACAGCATATGGACAGATGTTCAAATCCAGATGCCTGAAATGACACACCCATTAAAGAAAGAAGACGGTCTTGCAACAGCTCTATCTAGTGGAGAGACTGTAATATTACAGGTGTATATTTCCAGGGTCAAAGATTAATCTTAAAATGTTCCTGGATTAACATCTTTGCTAACCCAGAAACAACCTCATCAACCCATCAGATCAAAGGAAAAAAAAATGAATATATATATATATCAAAAGGTTTAGGAATTCTACTGTCATTTTAAGGTTCTACAATTAGTTTTTTTCAGTAGGTTTAAATACACTGAAGATTAAAAAATAATAATACAAAAATCATGATAACTTCACCTCTTTTATCACCATCTCTGAAATGCGATACGTATTGCTATTATTTATTCACCCACCACTGGTTCCAATTTTCTTTGAGCTTTAGTTTAATGTCATTGAGTGCATTTTTCTTATTATAGATGTCATTGGCTACCGGTTTCCAACATTCTAAAAAATATCTAGTTTGTGTTCAACAGAAAAAGAAACTCATAAAAGTTTGAAACCATGTGAGAGATAAGTAAATAAATACATTGGACAAACCATACTTTTAAGCATATGCAAGAAAAAAAAACAGTAACACATTACAATATGACACATAGGTAATATTAGTTAATGTTTTACTAATATGAACAAACAATTAGCTATATTTGCAGAGTAATAATCATATAGCAACAATTTCTTATGCTGTTCTTGTTAACATTAGTTAATACACTGTTAGGGTAACATGATGAACAACTGTATTTATTTATGTTCATTACAAACATTAAACTATTACAGGAAATGACAGGAAATAATATTAAATTCACTTCATCACTTTAAAATAAAGAATATTAAATAAAAGTCCATTACTCACTGATATATTAGGACAAGGGTGGCCAACCCTGTTTCTGGAGAGCCATCTTCCTGCAGATTTCAGTTGCCACCCATATCAAACACACCTGCCTGTAATTATCACGTGGTGTTCAGGTCCTAATTAATTGGTTCAGGTGTGTTTGATATGGGTAGCAACTGCATGGCCTTTTCATACATTTATTGAATTTTGCAGCAAGCATAAACTCAATTCTGTGGCAGCACTACAAATACTTCAATAAATGTATTGTTCACCATGTTAGCAAATGTATTAACTAATGTTAAGTAAGTGTCCTGTATTGTAAAGTGTTAAAGAAAAAGCAAATGTGAAAAAGCAAAATACGTGAGCTTCACATGTGCAATCTCAGGTTAAAATCAAATTCAAAACATTTTGTTACACATGGAATAAATAAAAAAATGGTTTCATGGCATTTTTAAATGTTATATACAGGTGAAATATTGTTATAGAGTTTTTTCAAAGTGTGAGGCGCGCCTCCCCTGGGGGTTGCCAGAGCATGTCAGGGGAGGCGCGGGAAAAATATTATATAATAAAAATAGAATTATAAAGTTTAATTATTATATGTATTCTTTATTATTTTTAAACATTTTAATTAAACAAAGCTAAAAAAAATAATACGTCAAAAATAAGAAAACCTTTTTTACCCAGAAGGCCATAGCTGTGAATTCGCTTCTGTTTGAAAAACCCGCCAATACAGGTATATGCCTGCTAATTTACCGTCTATGCTGCTAATACAATGGATCGGTTTCTGAGACCCCCCGATTCAAAGCCTTCAAGTTCAGGGCTTAAACCCAAAAGACGACGATATGATGATCAGTAATTGAGTGTAGGATTTACGTGGACAGGACCAGCTGTTGAACCACGACCTTTATGTGTGGTTTGTCAAGATATTTTGGCTAATGACAGCATGAGACCGGCTAAACTTCGGTGACACCTTGAATCCAAGCATGATGAGGTGGGAGGAGGGGGCGCCAATGGATACGTTGTGTCAAAAGGGAGGCCCACTGTCTTATACTTTGAAAAACCCTGTTATAGAGTGTAAAATGTGAACATAGCTTTAACATGTTTTTGAACGCGATATATGATTTTGCATTCCATGCCACATTTGGAACAGTTTTAAGAGGATAATATAATATTCCAAAATCACATTTCACATGTGTTCTAACATGTTACTTTAATATATTATTGCTAATGTGAGGTTCATGTAATGCTAATGTGTTTTTCTGTATTGTTTTTTTTTTTAAAGCTTTTTTAGTTTGTCCAAAACTGAAATGAATAAAGTCAAATTAATTAAAGTATTTTTTTCATAATTGCACATTGATTTTTATAACATCTACATTTACAAAATCTACACTTCATTGAGATAATGTCTAAAATGTCATGACAGGGGCACAATAAGCAACCTCTACAAGCATATTCACAAAGCAATCCCCAATAATATGACAGTCAGTTTATTTGCATACAGGGACAACAGCAGGGGGCCAAAATGAGTGTCACTTAACAAACAAGTCATCAACAGCAAGGCGGTGTTGTCATGACTACAGCGGCAGTAAATTAATATCCTCACCATCAAAGTCCATTCAGAACGAATCTCATTAGTGGTCTACTTACATGTAAGCTGGTTAACAATGTCCTACGAAAGAGATGCACTTTCAAACACTGTGAAAAAGCAAGCTACAGTAGTACCAGTCAAAAATGTATGTATTGATTTTGATCGAACAATCCTTGGGTCTCATTTGCAGAAACAGCTTTCCAGACTATTGTTATTCTGTTGTGCTGTGGTATGTTTGAAAGTGTGTTCACCAGCGTGTGGCTATCAATGCTGCTTCTGTTTGCTGTTGTTATGAAACCCTCCAGAGAGATGTGACTCAGCAGCACTGGAGGATGGGTTGCAAGCCAGTGATGGTCACACACACAGCTGACCGCTGTTTTGCATAGATAATACACTAACGTGTTATATATTTGAGCAGCTATATTGAATTTTGCAGTCTGAGCACATGAGTTTGGTTTATTCAGTTGGGGATGTTTAAAAAGATGGTGCCAGTATGTGGCCAAGGCAAACAAAAATGAGAAGCATGCATATAGAATGATAAGCAAAAATAGAAGAGCAGCACAGAGAGATAGGGTTTGGATGGATTTATGTAAAAAGGCAGGTGTATTTAAAGTTTTGGAGTAAAAATACTAATTATGGTGGTACAGGGGCATGACTAAATTTGCAAACATTAATTTAGT